AAGATTAATCGCGGTTATAAAATGAATCGCAACACGATATCACAGGGATATATTCGCTCGAAAAGACGTGCTCGTTTAAATAAAATAAAAGCTCGAACGTAACAGCCGTGGACAGCATCGGAGGCGTAATTTCAGAACAAAATGCCCAAACGTATATACGAGAAGCTTTTCAACACCGTGTGACCAACGAACGGATTACGTAAAGCGTAGCGTAAAGTGGTAGCGTAGCAGTTTGCCCTCGAATTTTCGTCCTGTCGTCCTCGTAAAAATTGAGATCCTTAGAAACAATAAGACTAGTAGTCGCACGAACATCTCTCGATATGAACGTATTTCAAGGGTCGTTCTCGGGGCGATCGTTACATGGCTGACGACCGTTCCTCGTGGGCCTTCTTCACGATCGCCAGCTTCGAGTGCGGGTCCGCCGCCGGAAGTCCAGTGTAAGGTGGCTCTCTGGTGCCGTGCAGCATCAGAGTCCACTCTCGGATCCATCCGTGTTGCAGAGTTTGAGTATTGAAGCTCACCTGCAGATATAAAGCAGACATTAGAAAGGAGAAGCCTTGTTCGAGATTCCGACTCACTGTGAAACTATCGCAGTATCTCGATATATACCTCCAACAACCAGTTCCCTTGGGGATACTCGCCCCACGTGTGAGTAGTCATGAACGGCCATTTCGTAAAGCCGTCTCGGTGATCGTCGTCGTTTATCCTTCGGCTGAGGATCATCGATCTGGAAGCCAGTTGATAACTCACTAATCTCTCTCGTGAATCTCGCCGATCAGATCGATCGATGAAAGGATAGAAACGATGTATATAAGTTTCAATCGATTTGAAGTTCACACGTACCTGGTGCCCATGGGAGAAGTGAGGAACAACTCGAGATCACCTCGTCGCGTACCGTTCACGGAAATGACGGCCTGCACGTGTTCCAGATAGTTGACGGCGTACTCGGTGCCGGCGCAGGCATCAGTCTTTATTTTCAGCAGGATCGATCGATCGCTCGTCACTTCCCTGTGAAAAGGAAATTCTCGTCGGTCGAGCTCTGTGATATGCTGGGGAGGAGAGCTTAAATTTAATTTCGCCACGGGAGATTCAGTTTTTCGTGTTGGGAAAAGATCGTTCGAACAGGAGACGTTCAATTTCTGCATGAAGTAAAGTAGACATGGGTGGGTACGACACGATCGACAACGATTCTACTCTACAGGATACCTCGGTCGTCCACGAATTTATTACACGATCTTCGACTTTCGTCCCCTATTTATTACACGATCTTCGACTTTCGAACAGCTACGGGAATCGAGGCAACACTCACTGTGTTTCGAGCACAGAGCCAGCCTCGCAGTGATATCGTGGCGGCACGGTTTTCCATTTTTTCGCCAGCGCGACCATCGCGCCAGCGTCCAATACGCCGTAGCCGAAGAGGTGGTTGAATTCGAGGCCAACCCCGTTCATCGTCCAGTGGAATCTTCCCTTCGCGTCGAACAGCGAGTTCCTCTTCGACGTTAGAACCGTCAGGTGCTGTATGTCGCGCCAGGTCAACTGCGGACTGAAATCAGAATCAACGATTCTCTGCTGCGTCTAAAGTCTGTTAAATGCATCTAAAGTTTGTTAAAACAAAGAAACTTTTCGCACTCTTATTAATGTTAACACATTCGCGACAGCTGACGTGAATTCAAATTCTATTCCTCAGCGCACAGTTCATTTCAAACGCCAGACATATTTCGTTAGATTTCAAAAGAAACTTTCGAATCGTTGTCCCCAGATGTTAGCTTGAGATTTTCGTTTTCGTCTTCGTCGACAATGAGTATTAGGAAAAGTAGCGAGAATGAATTGTTCTCCGAACAATTTGCCTGCGATACATCGATTTTTTTTACCAGCGGACAATCGGTGAAATTGGAGCAAGAAAACAGGGGTCAAAAGGTACGCGAGCATCAAAGAGACAGCGTCCGCTTTTTAATATCGCGTCCTATCGGTTACTGGGTCACGTTTTCATCGCAGTTTTCACTCCCTGTAAGCCGTCTGTTCCTTAATTTTCACGATTTCCAGCGATCGGCGCACCTCGCGGCCCAATTACATCTTTCGAACTTATCCGCAGACAATGTGCGCGAATCGTTCCTCGAAATTACCGCGATTTCTCCATCTAGCTACATCGTACATTCGTACTCGCCTGTTGGAAAAATTTCCAATTTCCAATAGGATCAACAGAAATTTCTCGCGAATTTGTGCGCAAATCTGGGAAACTTCGACGAGCAATAATTCGATGGAAAAAAAAGAGAGAAAAAATTTTGATTGGAGCAATTGACTCAAGATCTGTACTGGAATCGCGGCCCAATTACACCTTTCGAACTTATCCGCAGACAATGTGCGCGAATCGTTCCTCGAAATTACCGCGATTTCTCCATCTAGCTACATCGTACATTCGTACTCGCCTGTTGGAAAAATTTCCAATTTCCAATAGGATCAACAGAAATTTCTCGCGAATTTGTGCGCAAATCTGGGAAACTTCGACGAGCAATAATTCGATGGAAAAAAAAGAGAGAAAAAATTTTGATTGGAGCAATTGACTCAAGATCTGTACTGGAATCGCTAAACGTTCGATATCGAATACACGCGCGGACTACGGCTGCGTGGAGCTGCCGTTTGCGTCATAATTCGCGATATTATTCGTTATTAAGCGAACGATAAAACTACAAGCTGCATCGTATTTCAGACAGATGGTACTTCCCGCTCTTTAATGGCCCCCGCATAGTCTCTCTCTCTCTCTCTCTCTC